GATTCTGTACTTCCATCAATTGTGCCATCTATGCAATTTGAGAAAGTTCAGTACAGGGAATCAAATCAAAGGGGAAAATGAAAGAACCATTTCTTTTCACAGTCAAGAATAAGTGATCATGGGTGCAATCAAAATGCAAATGCATAGAGTTAGATCTCTGCAAATGCAGTCGTGATTGCTTAAACACCTTATCGATTTACTTAGCCTTTATAGCCTTTAGGCTTACCCTTTTGTCCTGCATCTGAAATGAGTCTCTGGTAACACTTCACTTGCTTTTAACTATTTGTGTTGGCTGTTTCACTCACTCCATGCTGGGGAAGGAGACTGCACTGTGGCAGCAACCAGCCAGAGTGATGCTGGAAATAAAGAGCTTGCAGAGGGCAAGTTTCACGAGGCTAGCTGATGGTGCAAGGGACTCGTATTTGAGCTGTATGATACTTAAACAGTAGACTCATAGGGAAAGCAGGGAAGATGAGAAGCTTTGGTGACAAGCTTAGCAGTACTGAGCAGCTCTGAACCACTAAACGTTGTAGGGGATTTGCAGGGGATTTCTGAGCAGTGTAACGATGCAGAACTGACTGGGAGCCATTTGTAGCTGTTTGATGGGTGCATTACAATGAACGACATCAGTTTTAATTGGGCATTAGGTCCTATCTTCTAACGCACTGAAAACATAAAAGAAGGACTTCCCTTTGATCCACATTGGTATGATCAAAATTTAAGTGTATAACTCTACTTAGATTATGCTTCTGTTGTTGTCCTGCTGCCCCTGGAGGAATGTGTCCCCAGAGCTTGTACTTGGGTATCTGTGTCCTTCAGAAACAAATCATAGAAACAAATTATAGAACAATTTGGGTTGGAAAGGACCTTAAGATCGTCTAGTTCCAACCACTGCCATAGGCAGAGATGCCTCACACTGTACCAACAACAATGGTGAATGTTCAAATCAGCATTCTACTTCTGAATCCTGAAATGTTCTGGTCCAAACCCTTCTCTGCACTTTTGCCTAGAAAAGGAGATTTGGAAAATCATGAGCCATTCCACTTGAAGCACGGTCAGGATTTCACAACATTTGAGTGGATGGTTCTGAAGTCCTCATCGCTTCTCTGCTGATCTCAAAAGGTTCCTGCTATTCTCTGCACATCATTTGTGTACCACGGAGTCTGCAGTTGTCCTGTGTCACCAGTTCAGTCACAAGCTCAGACCTGGTCCCAGAGCAAAGTACAGCCTCCATTTTTCATACAACAGAACAAAGGACATCCTGAGAAACAGGAAGGAGCTGTGGTGGTGGTATCAGCATTTGATACTTCGCAGCAAACCACAAGGGCACGAGAATCTCAGTGGCTAGCTGCCAGAACGCTATCATTTACAAGTAAGTAACTGCTTGTCAATGACACCAATGATAACACCATAAACACAGTCATACACAGCACCACTCTTTTGTGAGCCCGTGTGTATCAGCTCCTCTTCTTCTGGGCTTCTCCCTGTCTCACTCAGAGAAGTGGCATTTGGAATTTTTAAAGCCCTTGGACAGAAGAGGTGGTTTTGGGGTATTTTAAGCCACTACCAACACCAAACCCAGGCTCACAACCATGCACCGCCAGGAAACGTTTCATACAAATAAGCCACGTGAGACCCTGCAGGGATTTGCTGACTCTGGTTTAACTGAACTCAAAGAAGAAGTTATGATTCCCAGCAGAAGACAAGATAACCCACTTCAAGCGGATGCTGCGCTACCGCTATTGAGCACAGCTCCCTGGACAGCTTTTCCCTTGTGTTCCCCCACAAGAGCTCACAAGTGCCATTCACATTTGTTAATGCTTCCACACAAAAAGGAGGGAGGAAAGAAGACAATACTTACAGAATGGGACGAGACTGGAAATCTTCCTGGTTCATTCTTTCAGACTGGCGTATTTTCAGTATTTCTGTGTAACTCAGGTTCTGAAGCTTGCTCTTGAACTGGTCCAGAGAGCTAGGCTTGGTAGTGAGTGCTCTCATTATCTGTTCTTTCACGACCTGCATTACCTGTGGTTGACAAGGAAAAGAAATCCTGTGTTAACACTTGCTGTGTTTTTGTTTCAAAACTTATTCTGGGTGCCAGGAAGGTTTCTGGGTATAGAAGATGATCAGTACTATGTGGTCTCAAGACAATTTTTCAGTAGCATAACCAGAAAATAAGCCGACTTGTGACAGGGCATCACAGCTTACCACAAAAACTCATCTGCCCTATAACAAGACAATTATGCTCTTTGGGGATAGTATCATTTATTGCTTGGCTGTCTCCCTGAACAGCTACATTACAACTGCTGGTTACAGGATTGTGAGTCCCACTCTGCCTGTGGTTTGTGTGCCCATGGTGGCAGCAGCAGCGTGACTCTTCTGCACCCGATGCTGAGATGCTGCTCTCATCAAGAGCAGAAAATAGGTGTGGAGTCCTAAGGAGCCAACTGAGCACACATGGACATCCTGACTTCTGCCAGCTCAGTGCACACACGCCACAGGGGCTGGTCTAACTGCCCACAAGAGAGACTGCAGAGAGTTTGTCAGGTCTTACAGCCCTCCTGGTGGGTCTCAGAGCTGCTCTCCAGACCAGAAGCACAAAGCTGCTAACTGTGGTCCACTGCTTCCCCTATTCCTTATGCCCAGAGGTGATGGGCACACACTGAAACCCAGGAGGCTCCCCCTGAACATCAGGAAATACTTTTTCACTGTGAGGGTGGCCAACCACTGGCACAGGTTGCCCAGGGACGTTGTGGAGTCTCCATCCCTGGAGATATGCAAAACTCATCTGGACACAGCCCTGGGCAACCTGCTGTAGGTGACCCTATTAGAGCTGGACCAAATGACCTCCAGTGGTCCCTTCCAACCTCCACCACTCTGGTTCTGTGAAAGCCTTACACTGCAGACACATTATGGCCATATACAGTGAAAGACAGAGAACTTGCTAAAAGAGACCGTTAGTTGGGTAGAGGGAGAGAGAGACATCAATTTGCCAAGGATATTATAGGATTGCTTTTGAAGCAATGCCATAAACAATTCAAACCAGAAAATGGGAATGATGAGTGTCTCGGCAACAGCCATCTATCTGCATATTAATTATTTTATCAGGAGAAAATTGCTGAGACACAGTTAACTATAGGGAATTGCTTGGCTTTAGCTCAGAGGAATGCGTATCACAGATTACTGTTTGTCTCTCTGCAATCCCAGACTCATCTCCTTGGTGCTGGTGCAAATCACACACTTTGAAATATTTATACGATACTGTGCTTAAGTTGGCTGAAAAAACAATTTATCAGTCTCAGCAAGGCACATCCCACCCAAATCCCAACAGCTAAAACCCAGTAGGAAACGGTAACACCCCCCTACTATCAAAGCGGGTGTGATGGAAATTAACAGCTACACAGAGGGCAAAAGCTTTTTCTGAACTGCTAATTTTCCCTTATTCTTTCATTTTCACCAAGTATCTTAAAACAGAAGCTCAGCCCCTCAGAGGTTCCCTAATCGCTCTGAGAAGTTCTCTCTTCACATGAATATTTCATTGCTTCATATGTGTAGCCTCAGTCTGCAAACTCACTGCCTATGTCTTCTATTTTTGCTTCCTGAGAGGTAACGTCTTGCTCAGATGCACTCTAAGCATGTAGTTTAGCTGTGTCCAGCAGGTGAAACTAAGCAATTGAAGAACTGAAGATACTCTCCCTCCTTACTACAGGGACTACATCCACCCTGACTTCAAGAGAAGCAAGATGCTTTTCTCAAAGGAGTTGGCTCAGGTGGGCAGCGAATGTCTCTGCCACACTTGTATCCCCCGGATCACAGAATCATGGAATCGCAGCCTGGTTTGGGTTGAAGGGACCTTAAAGCTCCTCCAGCCCCAACCCCTGCCCCGGGCAGGGACACCTTCCACTAGAGCAGGTTGCTCCAAACCCCTGTGTCCAACCTGCCCTTGAACACTGCCAGGGATGGGGCAGCCACAGCTTCTCTGGGCACCCTGTGCCAGCACCTCAGCACCCTCCCAGGGAAGAGCTTCTGCCTCAGAGCTCATCTCAATCTCCCCTCTGGCAGGTTCAAGCCATTCCCCTTGTCCTGTCCCTACAGGCCCTTGTCCAAAGCCCCTCTCCAGGTTTCCTGGAGCCCCTTTAGGCACTGGAGCTGCTCTAAGGTGTCCCCTTCAGGAGCCTTCTCTTCTCCAGCTGCCCCAGCCCAGCTCTCTCAGCCTGGCTCCAGAGCAGAGATGGGTGAGGCAGTCTACCTACACTAACTTGGCAGGGGCCCTTCTTTAGACGTATCCTTGCAGTTAAGATCCTGCTCTTGGTGTATTTTGCAAACCTGGCCCAGCAAAGCTGAGCTCTGCTCCATCCACTCCTACACACCTAAAAGGTACATTGCTACGTATTTGAGGAAGTCTTCTAATACTTAGTTTGATGGTAAAAAGCAACGTTAAATTCTGCACTCTACACCTGCATGCTCTTAATTTCATTTACAGAATTGCTTAGGTTTAGATGGTGGCCATGTACAGCTAAATCCCTCTCAAGAGCTGCTTAGCTGGTGTGCCAGGGGGAATCAGCTACTTCCCCACCTGAAACCAACTTCTGACTGCCATCTGACTGCTCAGAGGGATTAACACCTCCTTGACTGCATTCAGAGAGCACTCTCCAGTCCAACTGTGCTGTCACACAATGGAAACAACAAACCAGAAGGCCAAACACCTAACACTTGAACATTAATGGACAGTGCCCAACAAGGCATACTCCTACTGATTGCACTGGGCCTTGGTTTGGTACCTAGACGGGCTTAGGAAACGTAGTGAGGGAAACTTCCTTGAAGAAATAGTGGGAAAAAATGAAGCAGACAATCCCAGTGACAAGCTGGATGTTTAAAAATACCTTCTGTCTTCCTCTCTCTGCCTCCTTAGCAATGACTACTTATTGCTGCTAATTAATTCTGATTTATATTTTATATGTTTATGTATTATTAATTAGGACTAATTATTATTAACTATTGGGAATGGAGAAGAGGGGAGAGACTGGAAACTCACCTTGCCCGCTGAAAACATATTTAGCTCTTGGTACCTCCTAACACTTCTGCCTGGGCTCAACTTCTCACCTTCATAGAGAATGTGACATTGGGCCTGCTGAGAAGTTGTGCCACATGTATTTTGGTACATGTGGCTTTATAGCCAGAGTACAGTCATCACTTCTGCAGTATCATGTGAAAGAACCATACAAAACCAGATAGGTTAATTCAGATACGTAAGCCCCATCACCGCTCATGCCATCAAATTGCCTGGCCATTAGAAAGCAACAAATTACTGCAATTGCAAACAGACAGACATAGTATTACTGCCAAACTAACCATGCTACACTCCTATAGTAACTACCACTACAGGATCACCTTGATTTTTTCAGCACTAAACCAGATTTGCAAGCAAATAGAGTCCTGCAATTGCTTATGCATGTATGCAGTTCGGGTTCCATGCGTTCATCCAAACATCTGTACAGAGCTGGTTTTCTTGCTGTTTACATACAGATTTAGTTTCTCCAATTCAGGCAATCACCCTGGGGAAACTGTCTCTATGAGCAGGTTTTCCCATGAAATAAACGAACAAATACTGTATTTTAAGGAGTTGCATGCATGTGGATCTTCTTTGCAGTCTGATCTCTGAACCAGCCATAGGAAGCAGCGCTCATTCTGGGCTAAGCAATGCAAAGGAGGCTCAGGTTCAGTAGACTTTGGGTGCTGTCATTTCTGCTTAGATGCAAAATCCTGTATAAACACTTGTCTTCCTTCTCTGGTACTCACTGTTGTGGTTAACACTCAAACAGTGCAGATTCCTCTACCTTGCTGTGATCTGGAAGGTTATTCACAGGCTATCATCAAAGACCTCCTTGGTTTAGAGACTCCCCTTGCGCCCGAGAGAGAAGGCAGAAAGAGCATGCCCCAGGCCCAGCACATAAGGGGGTGATCACATCACTTGCCCTATAATGTTTATAGCCAACACTATTTAACTAGCTGGCCAAAATGTCAAAGCTGCTGATTGCACTGAGTCTCCTGAGCTTGTAGGAATCACTGCCAAGAAGTTCTAATCTATTTAATTTCCAAAGTTGAGTTGCCAGCCTGTGATTACAGCCGTCTGAGAGACAGCATCAACCCTTCCTCCCCGTGTGTCTGACCTTACAATGAAATTAAAGGTATTCTCTACTCAGTGTAATTGTACATAAACGCTGTAGACAGTTGTTTTAATTACATTATGCTTTGCTACTCTTACTGAGAAATGAGCGTTTCTGAGGGCACATTTGCTTTAAATTATGCCCTTTTCATCTGACGACCTCTTGTACGGTGAGAGAATCCCAAGTTCTGCATTACGACTAAGACAGTTAAATACACAGAAGGAGACAGATAGTAGAAGAAAAAAGATACTACTTCTTTTTCATTTAATCACATAGGACTTTATTCCCTGTATTCTGCATCCATCTAATGTGTCTTGTATTTCTACGGTCAGCGTCACCATCAGATTAAATTATGTACTTTGTTAAGCTGTTTTAGTCTAGCTTTGTGTTTAGCTCATTTGACCTCATCTGTCCCCTCTTTCATCCTCGTTCTCTGTCTTGCCATGACAACTTTTCCCTATGCAAATAAAGTCTCTTCCTTTCAGGATGGAGCAGAGGACTAGACACCTGGGCTCTACAACAAGGGGACAAAATGAAGAAAGAGAAGTTGTCAATGTCAGAAAGGAGTTTACTGGAGTCCAGCTTCACAGCAACCTTCCCACTGACTGCATCCTAGCAGCTTGTTTGCAACGATGGGAAGCACAAACCTCTCTCCTCACCCCACACCAAAGCAGCGTTTGTCTTTGGCACTGACTGGAGAAGTCTGAGCCTTCCGCTCATCAGACAAACTCTTTCTACAAACTTCCAGCACCAACCTTCTCAGAAACCTCCCCCAGAACAGCCTGAGAGGCTGGATGTTCACAACCACCCATCTGTGGAGCACCAGGCAGGAGATGAACCCTTCAACACGTAATGCCC